CTCCATTCGCCTCCAGTAGACCAGGATAAGAGCCTTGGCCGCGTTTAGCAAGTGTCGATTTCTTGTATAGAGATACTGGTTGTGGTGTACATCATATGTAGGAGGGCAAATATACAGATATACCACGTGTAACAGAGACACCTTAATAGAAAAAGGAGAGAATAGGGGTAAAAATTTACTTATACCCTAGTAAAATATTTGCATGTAGAGTAGGACTCCTCCAAGCCCTCAAGCACAGAATACAAAGTACCAACAAACAGGTAACTACAATGCAAAAAGAGAAAAAGACAATATTGCCGTTCCTTAAAACAATATAAAATGGGTGAAATGAACACTCACAAATCCAAATTGATTGAAGGCATATGTAATAAAGTGAAGAATATCCTCGTATTTGTATTCCAGCATTCACTGTTTTTGCTGCTGCTTGAGGATCCCATCAGTGTACATCATCTCTGAAGGTGTTCCTGTTTGCTGCTATCGAGATGACAATTTGTGATGTGCCTATTTAATACATCTATCTTGTAAGTGCAATATTTATTAAAGATTTATGCTGTTTTAGAAACTCTGCACTATTATTTCTCAATTCTTTTCTCCTATATGCTGGAATACGAATACGAGGATATTCTTCACTATATTAGATACGCCTTCAATCAATTTGGGTTTGTGAGTGTTCATTTCACCCATTTTATATATTGTTTTAAGGAACCGCAATATTGTCCTATGTCTTTTTCTCTTTTTGCATTGTAGCTACCTGTTTGTTGGTACTTTGTATTCTATGTAGGAGGTTAAGTTCGGATGACCAGTCAGTAAAATCTCCCAGAATCTCCATTATTTTAATCCTAATATTCTTCCAGTATGGGAATATGTCGCAACATTTCCAGCAGATATGTATTGTTGTTTGAAAAGAAAATGTGAATTTAGTGGATCATACTGCCACCACAAAGATCACTCAGTGGAGCGCTAAAAATAAATATCTTACCCCTATTGAAATAACATATATTCCACTTAAAAGGTAACACAGTATAATATAATCTGATCACCCTGGAACCTGCAAGCACACCAGTTGAAGAGGATGAATTTTTGAGGTTCTGCTACAAATAGTTCATGGTTTGGTGTGTGCTCTCCATAATGTGTTAAGTTGAGTCAAGCTATTTTGACCATCTTGGCTTACGAATCTACTTTATCACAGCGACTGCACCCAAGTAAAGACTGATATTATTCAACAGAATCAATAACGCGCTCTTGGACAACCACAAGGGAAACCACGACAGGCCCTGAGTATAAAATGCAGCGATCCAGAAATAAATAGAATCTTCTTAGTATTTAATCCAGTGGTTCCCAAACTTTTTAGGTTCAAGGCACCCTTAATATTTCAGTAGGCACCCCAAATCAAAATTTCTAGGTTGTTTATCTGTACAGCGCTGTGGCAGTTACTGGCGCTATAGTGTAATGTACAGTGTTGGTGCTTGTATACATTTATTGTGTTTGTGTTTGTATGCGATGTTTGCGTTTGTAGGGTGGTCTGTCCAGTGGCACACTCTGAGGGGGGCGGCCGCGTTACGTGCTGGTGCTGCCGGGCCGGGTGGCTGCCTAGCTGGTCCGATGGCACACTCACTAATGCTGGCAGCATAGGAGGACTGGCGGCACCAGCATTGAAAAAGGCCGGCCCCGTCTGACTTCTTTTGGTAAATGGGAGGGGGTAGAGAGAGACAGAATTGAATTGAGAGACACAAGGGGGGGGGGAGAAAGAGACAGAGAGGGGTAATAGAGAGACACAGGGGAAGAGACAGTGGGAGAATAGAGAGAGATACAGGGGCAGAAAGAGGGGAAATAGCGAGATGGTGGAGGGCGGAGAAAGAGACAGAGTGGAAGAGAGATGTGGGGGAGAGAGAGAGAGACACAGAGGCAGAGACACACAGAGGGGAGGGGGGGAAAGGAGAGAGAAACACAGGGGGAGGGGGATAGAGACACACGGGAGAGGGGAGAAAGAAACAGAGAAAAGAAATAGACATGGGGAGGGAGGGGAAAAACGAGACGGGGGAGAGATAGACTGGGAAGGAGAGAGGAGATATGGACACAGAGGAGCAGTGAGGGGGTGAAAGAAACATACAGAGGGACACTCATCACACTCATATACACTCACACTCATACACAAACACACCCACACATTCATACTCATACACACACTCATGCACACACACTCATACATACACACACACACTCATACATACACATTCAAACTCATACACACACCCATACAGACACTAATGCACATACTCATACTTACATACAAACCCTCATACACAAACTCATACACACATTCATAGACTTACACACACACACACACACACACACACTCAAACTCATACACATACATACACTCATACACATACAAACACTCATATCCATACACTCATATTCACACTAATACACACACTCATACTCATACACACACATTTATACACATACACACACTCACACAGGTGATTTTTTTTTATATATCCACAGCCACCCTCCTATTATCTTACCTTATGTGCCAGGAGGGTGGCTTTGAGTACTGCTGCTGTGGTAGTGAGGGGTCTGGAGATCTTCATGCTCTTTTCCCCTCATGCTGTGGCTGCCTCCTCTCCCTCCCGTGTTGTCTCCCTGCAGGATGATGAGAGGAAGTGACAGGCTGTCATTTCCTCCCAGCTGGCCTACAGTACAGGGACCCAGTCATGGTCTTAAAGGACCGCGGCACTCGACCGGGTACCTGTTGAGCAGTAATGTTTCATAATCATAGCACTGGGGAAACATTCCGCGGCATCCCTGTGTGCACTTGCCAGAGAAATAATGACAGCAACTACATACAGTGTATGCATTATAGTTGCTGTAAAGGAAAGCACCTGTATGAGTGTTCTACTTCTCTTCCTTCACTCATTTCTCAGTACATTCTATACTGGCATTAAGGAACTGAGTGACTGGCTAGGGGAGCAACCATATCGTTATATAGGTTGTAAGAAAATCTATACATATGGTAAGCTCATTTGTTTTTGGCATTCCTCACTCCATTCCATGTAAAGTGCTTCATAATATGTTGGTGCAATATAAATATTACTTCTACAAACACCACCACTATTAGGATTTCTACTAGTGCAATGTAAAGATAAATATCTCTCTGTCACGGCCGACACTTACCTGTCACATCCTGAAGGCAGCTCACAGAGGGCTCGGGTACCGGCTTCTTCCTCTCTCCCTCCGCTGTCCGCCGACTTCCGCATAGGCCCCATGACAGCAAGATGCGGGCCAGAATGTGGAGGCCTGCAGGGCATTGGGCGAGGATCGGGGATGGCGGGGGAAAGAGGATTAGAAAGAGAGAGGGGAGGGACTGAGTAATAGTCAAAATGGTGCTCTGCGGGGTGTGGGGCCTGGTCCTCTGCCTATAAATAGCCAAGCACTGGACTTGGTCGGTGCTTGGTTGTTCTGGTTCTTGCCCCATTCTCCTAGCATCCTGGTTCCTGATTATATTTCCTGATTCCTGATCCTTCTTCCTGGTTACTGGTCTCTGATCCCTGATTTCTGATTCCTGGTTCCCAAAAAAACGTTTCAGCTCCTGATTGTTGGATTGGACCCTAACTATGCTACCTTTGACCTCTGGCATCCTGCTACCTATTTGTGGATTTCCTGGCTTCTGACCTTCGGCTTGCCTCTTGACCTTGCAAATAATTGTAGATTATGCTAGCTTTAGTATACCTATAATCTTTATTTTAATAATGACAGGAGGCTTCGTATTTGCTTAAAGGACCACTCTAGGCACCCAGACCACTTCAGCTTATTGAAGTGGTCTGGGTGCCAGGTCCAGCTAGGGTTAAGCCTTCCCCCTAATCCTCTAGTGGCTGTCTCATTGACAGCCACTAGAGGCGCTTGCGTGCTTCTCACTGTGATTTTCACAGTGAGAGCACGCAAGCGTCCATAGGAAAGCATTATGAATGCTTTCCTATGTGACCGGCTGAATGCGCGCGCAGCTCTTGCCGCGCGTGCGCATTCAGCCGACGGGGAGGAGAAGAGGAGGATTGGAGGAGCACTGGAAAAAGGTAAGTTTTAACCCCTTTCCCCTTTCCAGAGCTGGGCGGGAGGGGGTCCCTGAGGGTGGGGGCACCCTCAGGGCACTATAGTGCCAGGAAAACGAGTATAGTGGTCCTTTAAGTCTCTCTTTACTAGAACTCCACAGCAGCACAGAAAAACAACCAATCAGAAAAAAGTTAGATACTATAAAACTCCCCTTCCCATACATCATTCACTCTTTCAAGCTGCGACAAGACAGAACAAAATACAGAAAATATAATGGGGAAGAAACAAAGTCCTAGATATAATGAAAACAACAAAGTCCACCATCCGAGAAGAACTGTTGAACCAGATAGTGTTGATGGATGGTAAACTGAAACGAAAGAAAACAGAGTTGAACAGGATGGTTAGCCAATGAAATGTACTTTGAACAAGCATGTAGGTACCCAATGCAATAACCAAAATTTTACCGTAACCTGCATAGATCCCAACCCTACTTATGAAAAACAGACATAAGAACAAGTGACAGGTAACAGAGACAACAAGCAGAGTTGCATACATACCTGATGGACTCAAACTATTAAAATTAAACAAGGGAGGGAAAAGAACGGGTGGGAAATACTTGCCTCCTGTCATTAATAAAATTAAGATTATATGTACACTAAAGATAGCATAATCTACAATTTTATAACATGACAGGAGGCTTCATATTTGCTGTTTTAACTCTCAGTCAAGAAATCCAACACTGTTTTTTCGCTGGTTCCTTTTCCTGGAGATATCAGAGCAATCCAAAATGGACTTACCAACTGCAATAAATGACAGTAGACGGATCGATGAAGATGCCAGCTGACGAAGCATCCCAAATACGGAAAAACACCATCCGCTGATAGATCCATTGTACGTGGGGTTGCGACCTGTTTCCTAGCAGCAGGTACATGAGCTGCCAAGCTGACTTATTAGCCATTTTCCCGTAGTTGTAAAATGTCGAAGGTCATTTGCGGACTTAGGGCCGCGAGAAGAAACTGCCACCATGTCTCGATTTTTGATGTGTAAGGTGGCTCCTCCAATCGTGCCAGGGTCACCCTGTGATGTGTCCTTGCAGGTAGATCTCCAATTCCAAGAAATGCTCCCAAGTCCACCACCAGTACCGTAATATAACCGAGGAGGATCTTCCGTTCCCTCATGGTCTACCCAGTGAGATGTCTCATCCGAGAATAAATTTATTATGCCGGCAAGAGTGTGGTCAAACTAGCTGTATCCTAAGTAATTCCAATATTCCAAATGGACTGTGTAATCCCCGGCTGCGGTAAATAAAGGACTCCAAAAGGACGTCCAATCAGGGTCCCAAACTGAACTTGTGTGGTGGATCGGTGGTCGACTATTCTGGGAATAGTGAGTCCCGGAAATATTCAAAGGGATTGGAAACGTAAACCGAAGTTGAGATTTCCATCCAGATATGTCATCGCCTAAGAGAGATAAGATGTACGGATCCAATGGTGATTAGGACCAGTATAACAACGAAGAATCCTCACGTGCTGTAGTGAGAGAGTGAAATAATCCGATTACCCGTAGTACGATCCTGTTCCATACCCGGCCTGTCAAAACTCGTGTAGGGGCACCTGGTCTACACGCCACCTACAAGATAGGAGTATAATATAGTGAGACCGTTAGGTCCCCATACCTCTGACTGTTCAGGCACGTATCTCCCAGAGTAGGCCCTAGGTCAAGGGACCCAGAAATGTGAGTTCGATAACCGAAGTCAAAGTCTCCCTATAGAGGGATACCTCCCTACTTAGCTTGGAGTCCCGCGAACACATATCGCTCTTCAATACGCAGGCAAGGCGTAAAGTCGCTTCGCTCAAGACAGGTGACTCCAGAGAGCAGATATAATGAAAAAACAATGGTCTAGCTTCAACCGTCCGAACAAAGTGTTGTCCCGTTTGAGAATGTTCGCAGCCCTATCTGAGTCTGCTACACCTCCTGAGCTGTACTCCAGCGGTAGGTTGCGACCCGACTTTGATGTCTATGTAGGAGTCGGGGCACACCGGGTACCTCCATAGAGTCTTGTAGGACACCTTGATGGTAGTTGAAAAATGGGTTAGCGAGAACCCAAACCAAGATGGTTCCCGTGAGGGATATAGAGTATAGACGGAGGGCCCTCCATCTCCGAACCATGTTCTCCAGATATGTGTTCAGAGGGGTAGGGGCAATCCTGTCATCTTATCCCAAGATTGTAATGACCAGGGAACTCAAGTCAACCGGGGTTTCCGGTCTTTCCATGCGTACAGTGTGCCTGCAGACCAGGTAGTGGGTCTTCCCTAGTCTTGTTACCCGAGCAAGGCAGTGCCCGTTTGCTCCATGAAGGTCTCAGTATCTCATGTCATCTTAATATGGGAAAAACTGTCTGCGCAGTTTGTCCGCAATGATCCGGATATCTAAAACAGAATGTAATTGCCTGTTTTATATAGCGCAGAATATACCAAAACCTGCACTCTTGTAATACCTGAGGGCTCGTCCGTTAGCCGTACCGTCCCCAGGAGTGCGTGTAAATAAGCGGGAGCCTCCCCCGTTATACCTCTGAGTATCACTTGCATGTGGTACGGATCCAGTAGATTCATAACAGGTGGTGCAATGGAGGGATCCAGTCTAAATATATATATCCTGCATGATCAGGAAGCCCTCTATAATGAAATCAGTGGCACGGTCGTTAGATCTAATTAAATGCAGGATGGATGCCCCTCTATGCAGTCATTGTTGTCCTGTACAGTTACAAGCCTGTGAGAAGAACAAATGGACGGCACAGTAGTGCGTTGAGTGTATGAGAGATAATGTGACCGAACTCCGTGTCAGTGTCCGGCTGATAGCCTGAGCGGGCCGCACCCGTTAATAACCAAACAGAGTGCACCTCCATGATCGGTTATCTCCACAGGAATGTGTCACTCAAAACATGTCCTCTGTATCCAGCTCAGTATCGGGCTGAGGTTGAGGGAGGGCCGCTCCCTCTAATAACAGATCAGTGTCTGGTTCTGTATAGTAGAGGGGTTCGCTCTCTGTTCATGAAAATAAAATATCATGCACAGATCGAGGTGACGGCGGGCCGCACTCTCTTGTAATCCAAATTAGAGTCCCTTAGAGACTCAGGGTGACCAACTGCAGGGATACACCATTTACTAATATCAGCATAAGACTGAGATCCTGAGGTGGGTCTCTCTCTGACCATGAGACCTCTCCCGGAATCTCTCACCTGAGATGGAATCGACTGGTAAAAAGCCAGACCGATGGTAGATGGAATAGTATACAACCTCGGGCCGTGTCCATCCTTAAAAACCGAAAGGGATGGTGCGAAAGTGCCACCTTTGGAAACAATGATGGAAACTACCAACTGACCGCCCAGATCCCTTGCGCGCACGTCCAGGATGACCGTCGGTAGCCTGAGGAAAGCTGGAGACGCTCCCTGCAATCCACGAGAGCCCAGGAGGTCAGAGGAGGTCAAGTCAGGCCTCTCGACGACCCGAGCGATAGGACAATTGGAAGGCTTGACAACCAAGAAGTGACAAATAATGTAGATAACGGTAAATACTTACCTCGGAGAGAAGGTAAATAGCAGATAGGAACAGCAAGTCAAGCCAACCCAACTGAAAGGGTCAGGAGCTAAACATGACATAGAACCAACTACCAACACCAAAGATGGATACCGTAAAGGCAGCTAAAGGGTTAGTTGCGAAAGGTAATGAAACCGTGCTCCCCTGTTGGCGTCCGAGCACTGATCCCTGCATGTGCGAAATTCTCCTTGGAGATGGTCCGCCACTGGGCTGGCGTAAACCGTGGTTGCGTGTCTGGGAATCTTTATAAAATCTTTGCCCCTTAGGGCATGAGGTTTAGGGCCTTCACCCTTCCAATCATACTTCGGTGCTCGTATAATGGTGTCCTCTTGGATGGCATGGCAGCAGAGCTGGCCTGGACACCTATCACCATGTCAATAGTGGGTGCTGAGCTCTCCTCTGTGCTATTCCCCCAGGCCTGCGGCCAAATGGGGGTTCAGGCACAGACAGAGCAGGCCAGTCAGAAGGGCACAGACATAGCAGGCCAATCAATGGGGCACAGACGTAGCAGGCCAATCAATGGGGCACAGACATAGCAGGCCAATCAAAGGGGCACAGACAGAGCAGGCCGATCCTGGGTTGCATCTGAACGAGTAAGAAGAGACCCCTATGTTTGGGCAGAGTCCCCTAAACATCTGTAAATCTTCAGGGCACCCTGTGACATGTGACCCCTAGGCGCCAACCCTTTTTGACAGTGCAATACTGTGTCAATAAACCTGAACTGGGACTAGCATTCCCTAAATGCCCAGCAGGCAAAATAGTGGTATTCCAGCTGTAGCGGATATAGGCTGAAAATGTTCCAGTGATTATAGTGTCCATAAAATCATGATATACAGCGAGATAAATTTTATAACTCTGAATGCGTTATGCACATGAAGCTACAGACCTGTTTGAGATTTCTTCATTGATATTATGTCTCATCAGTATAACATCTGAACAGAATTAGTGTCAGCATAGACTGGTCTCTCATACCAGTTTGAGCCAGAGCCAGGTCTGCTTGGCTTTCTATATTGGCCCTGGACAGTGAGCATCTTACTAGAGGAGTCTGGTTTCTTACTTCATGGATGGACCAGGTACATATATACTGAAGCACAGGGATCAGAACTTAACCATAATTGTGCAACATAAAAGCTTCATGTTTCCTAAGTATCATATCAAATCCAACAAAAGAATATTGGCACACTTGATCCACATGTTTCTCTAACAAGCGTGTAAATACACAGCAGGTACTTTGTAACTGCAGTGCTTGGACTCTTGCTGTGCAGGCGTTTGAACCAAGGTAGGAAGATTGCTAGTGCAAGTCTGTAACCACTGAGCTACCATATGTAGCATTATAATTGCGTGCTTACTCTTGATCTAATAGGAGGTGGATAATGAGAGGAGAGTTATTGGCTGCAGGGCACAGCCATGTTTACAGTCCAGCCCACAATGATCTCTTACTGGCCACATGTAAAGCGAAAACCCATCAATGGATAGAGAGTTTGTTGATGCCTAAAGTGAACTACTTAACTTCTGGCTCTGTATACGCCATGTTACAGAGCCAGAAACCCAGTGGGGGAAGAAACCTTGATGTCCGACCACCGTGGGTGGAGGCGGGGGCCGCGAGCGTACGCACCCTCCTCTAGCTGGTCAGATGTACGCGGTTCTTTGAATGAGCCGCGCAGCGAGGTGGCCATGTGTGTGAGCGACCCGGCTGACGGGTACTCGCGTCCCACCGCGAGATACCCTGGGCGCCGGCAGGCTCACACTGGAGCTCGGGGAATCAGAGGAGGTAGCCACACGGCTAGTCACCTGAAACCCCGAGCGGAGCGCCCGTAGCCCTGCAGGGAGGGCTTTCAGCAGGGCCCTAGAGAATGGGGTGGTGGGGAAGGTGAAAATCAAAAGGGTAAGCGGAAGGGTATCTCCAGTAAACCCCCACAATTAGAGGGGACATCCCCAAAGAAACAGGGGAAGCTCAAAGAAAGCAAAAGGGAAGTAATCCCAACCAAATAAGATGAAAATATAACTAAACATAATATATATAACATAAAATAAATAAATAGATATATAATATGAAAATTAAATATAATATACAAGATGTATATATAAAAAGTAAATATATAATATGACAACTAAATATAATATATAATATATATACAAAAAAATTAATATATAATATGATAACTAGAATAATAAATATAAATCAGAAATAAAATCACAAAGCCACCAACTAGAGCAGGAGGCAGTGGTACTCTGACCTGTACTGATGCGGAGCAGCAAAGAAAGAGGAAATGATGTATGGGAAGGGGAGTTTTATAGTACCTAACTTTTTTCTGATTGGTTGTTTTTCTGTGCTGCTGTGGAGTTCTAGTAAAGAGAGACTTAAGCAAATACGAAGCTTCCTGTCATGTTATAAAATTTAAGATAGCTAGTGCACTTTAAGTAGCACACTGTCTAAGTACAATCTGAGGGACTTTCTGGAGCCCATTATCTCTATCTGTATATAATGTTATTGCATTGTGTTGATAGGGGAAACCCTATATGGAGATTTCTGGGGGTTAAAAACACATTGCTCTATATGTTGTGAAGAATTGCATTATCTT